CCTGTGGAGATTGGCCCACTGTGGGAGTGCAGCTCATCCCAGCCAGCCAAGTGGCGCTCCCACCACTATGAGAGCATACTGACCACCAGGGGGCAGCTCCTGCATTGAGTGTTTGCCCCCTGTGGTCAGTATGCATCATAGTGACTGGTCGACCGGTCGTTCTGGTCATTCCGTCATTCAGTCGCTGGGCTTTTATTATATAGGATATCCCAGTGTCTAGGATGAAATCCCAAGAGTCTTTAAGCTGGAAGAAGCCGTTAGTTCGTTCATTCATTCAGTCTTTCATTCAATGTATTCTTACTATTTGCTTAGCACCATGATCATGCAGTTCAGCCTCCTTCATGAGGAAACTGAGGTCACAAAGCTGGTTAGAGACAGGGCAGGGCACTAAGCCCAGATGTTCTACACCCAGGACTCTTTGCCCACAGTGCTTAAAAAGTCTCACATAGTTACATTCAGGTGATGAAATAGGAGAGCATCTGTGTACTGCATGTGATTTGCATGCAATTCATGTAATAAAGACGAAATACAAACCCCCTTGCCAGCCATTGCTTTGTTACTCTAAATGCCAAAACTTAGAGAAGTTTAGCATTAGGGCTAGTAACTTTAGAATTTGGGAATTTTCAAATACATCTGTTTCCAACCTATTTATTCTCCTTAATATTTAAGTATTTCAATCAGGTCTTTTCTCCAGTGTTGTCTTTACAGATCAAAATCCTGAAAATAGCACTGACCTCTGAGGAGTGTGCCCTCACCCCTACCCTTTGAGTATTGCTGCAGTTTCCCATCCAGGACAAAACTGAACAACCCAATCTCACGGTGACTATCTTCTTCAAGGATTTGTTCTGAAGGGAACTAAAGGCATGTAGTTCAGAGCAATGGGGAGTTCCATTTTCTGAGCCGTCTGTACTCTCTGCACAATGAAATCTCCCAACTTGCTGAATACTGAACTTGTTGACAGCTGAGGAGGTCGAGCACATGTGAGCAGAAGAGAACAGCTGCTCTTGCCAGCTGCCTTCCTCTCTGCATAGACACAACGGCTGCCCGAGGAGCCGCTGCAGGACAGGAGGCGGAAGGAGTTTGAGGTTGCTGCAAGGAGACCCCTCTCGTATTTTTGCCGGGTAAATTCGTCCATATGCCTCTGGGCCAAGGGATACTGAATTTTAGCTGAGTGACTAAGAGCAAGGATGATGAAGCCAAACTACCCAGGTTCAAAGCCTGACTCTGCCCCCTGGCTTTTCAGCTTTTGTACATTAAGCAAGTGACTTAACCTCACTGTCTTCAGCATCCTCACCTATAAATGGGGAAGAGAGTTTCTTCATAGGATTTTTGAGGATGAAAGGAATTGAATGTTGATATGATTAATAATTCTAGCAACCACTATTGATGAAGCTCCTATTCCACTCCAGTTACCATGAACAAGATAGAAATGGCAACACTTTTCATAGAATTCAGAGTATTTTCTAACACTAGGAGCCCTGACCCATTTAAGGGTTATAAAATCAATGTAATAAAGTGTGCCTAGATTTTGTTTTAAATGAAGTAGGATAGGATTTGACAAAATAAGAGTTTATAAAACTTTTTTCAGTTACATATGTTTTTATATGTATGTGTGGGCTGGGTCTTGATATAAAATGGATTTCTTGAGTAGTAGAAAAGATAAGCAGTTAAACAGCAACCTCCATATAGCGTGTGTGATAAGTGCAGTGTGTCGTGGAAGCTTGGGAAGGTCACCTGACCCCTCCAGGCAGGTATAGAGAATCAGGGAAGCCTTCCAAGAGAAAGTGACATTTTACCTGAGATAGACTTAAAAGATGAATAGAAATTTTCCAAAAGAAGTTGGGGAGGGGGGAGCAGTTCCTTTAAGGGGAATGAGGAGTCCTGATTGGTAGTGGTGGTGGTTGGGGGGATGGAGGGGGGGGTGATAATGAAGCCTGAGAGAGACTTGCTCATATTTGCATTTGAGAAAGGCCACTCTGACTGCTAGAGGAGAATGGGTGAAGATTGTTGGGAAACTAGACCAGGGTGGGGACAGTGGGTATTTGAGAGGGACAGGACTTGGTGATCGATGGAGGAAGGTGCTGATCTGGGATGGCTCTCACTTTACTCACGTCTCTGGTGTTTAATTTACAAAGGTTGCTGGGGACAAATCTAAGTCTGTAAGCTCCAAGCCCCTAACTTGAGGAGACTTTCTGTAAACAGGAAGACAGGACCTTCCAATCACTTGGCAAATCATCTCTCCATCCTGCTGGACATATCTGTCGACTGTTGCTGGCCTAGGAGTTGGCAGGCCTTCCTGTTCCAAAGTGGGATGGTTCTTGGCAGGCGATGGAAAGCTGGAAACAGAATGGAGACGGGGCTAGCCAGGCACCTTGCATGAAGGGAAAAGAAGAACGGAAACCTAGTAGTTTCCCATCTGATCCAGAATATCTGGTCAAAAACTAATTTAAAAGGACAGGTAATTCAAAGATGTTCATAGATGGCTTCAAAATGCCATGCATTTTTGGCAGTGAGTTTACCTTGCCAAAAGTTTTCTTAAGGCCTTATTTCGCATTCCCCAAACACAGACCATCTGGGCAGCAGAGGGACGAGCTGAAGCCCAGAAGACTGGGTGAATGGCTGAGGAGATCCCAATGTCTGAAAATTGCACGGAGGCCACAAGTCTCTCTTATTGCCACCGTTAATCAATACGTCTCTGTCTACCTGTGTCCTGCCACCGAGCAGGGAGCTTGTTCTGACCTAAGCCTTGCCAAGTGACATGGTGACTTGAAAAGCAGCTATCTGGTTCCCAGCACAAAATGCTTTCTATCCGCATCTCTGAACACTCATAGGGCCACCTCCATCCCACAGCAGGCAGCCAGCCGACCCAGGGCTCTGCAGCAAACCATATTTGGAGCACCAGGCAGGCTCTTTACAGATCTTACCGTAAAAGACATTCTAAGTTATAATAGGTCCTGTAAAGAGCTCCAGAACACAAGGCCCCCTTTCCTGTTATTCATAAGATTGCTGTTTCCAGAAAAGTCTGAAGATTAGCTTATCTTCCCTGGCTCAGGCCTACCTAGGAGAGGAAAGAGTCTCACTTAAACACAGGGTCTCTGCCCCCAGGCCATATTAGGACCCTGAAGAAATGGCAGCCACTCCCTACTGAAGAATCCTAAGCATGCCCCTGGTCCTCTGCCTGGCATCTGGACTGTGCCAAGCCAGGGCAGTGGCCTGGTCTAGGCTACAAGTAACTGGGGATAATAAGCATAAGGACCAAATCTGGAAGTTTAAGGAAACTAACTGGTTTTCCTCAATCCATTGTGAAATTAAGTGCTGTTTCCCTTTTTAACCCCCACCCCCATAAAATTGTAAGATATTTAAAGTGTACACCATGGTGATTTGTATGTACGTGTACACGGTGAAAGGATCCCCCCTTCATCTAGTTGAAAACCCCAGCATAGTGTTCTTGGAGTCAGTTTCCTAAAAATTGAAAGAAGCAAACCATCAAATGTGCCAGAAGCAGGTCACTGGATATCCTCTCTTCTCCTCCTTTAATGTCCCCTTGATTGGAGGTGGCCAAAGGGGGCTTTGGAGGCTCACCCGAACAGATTCCCCACCTCCGTGCCTGGTATCAGTCCCATCTCACACTGACGCCTGTATTCCCCATACACACACCTCTCCGAGGTCGTCATCCTCAGCGTGCAGCCTGGAGGGAAGGAAACTAAGCTAAAGCAACAGGTCCCACCCACAGCCTGAACTTGGAAGGGGAGGCGGCTGGGCGACTGGAGGAGCTGAGTGGTGGAGAGGAAGCGTGTAGGAAGGTGGGAGGGAAATGATGGTGCCTGACCACCGCTCACACGTCACTCGGGCTCCCACACGGGCTTGTGTATGTGCGCGAGTGGGGGAGGGAGGTCCTTCGCGGGGTCCCTCGGGGGACTTCCGCGTGGGTTAGGAGGCGTCGAGCCCGCGCTTTGGGGTCTCCGGAGGCTTAGGCGGGGTAACCAGCCCCGCAGAGAGAGCTTGGGACGCGCCCAGGAAACGCGGGAGTGTCTGGGGATTAAAATTCACCACCCTTTCCAGGGCACCGCCCCTTCTAATGGGCCGGCTCTGCGCCCCCAATACCCCGGGTCCCCTTCCTTCGGCCTTTGCCCGGCCTCTCCAACCCCATCCGCAACCGGCCTCCCGCTCGTCTGCCGCCGCGAAAACCGGGAGAGCGGACTGCGCCGCGCCCGGCATCCTCTGGGCATGCTCGGTCGGCGGGACCGGCTCGCCGCCGGGAGGGCGCGTCCTTCCTCCCAGGGCGGCGGCGGCGGCGCCTGCAGCGACGGCGGCCGCGCCCCGGCCGGCACACCCTAGGGGGCGGTGGGAGCCGCCGGGTTCGGCGGGAGCCCAGAGCGCCCACCTACCCCCCGAGTCTTCCGGCGAGCGGAGGAGGGGCCAGCCGGGGAGGCGGGGAGGTGCGGAGGCGGGAGTCAGACCTCCGAGCTGCCGCGGCTCCTTAGAAAGTAAAGCTCAGCCGGAGCGCGGAGTCAGGTCGCCCACCGCCCAGCGGGGCGGGGCGGGGCGGGGCCGGGTGGGCGGGGGCCTCCGCCCGGAGAGCGAGGTGCGAATTTAGTATCCGCCCACCTCCTTCTCAGTCCCCACCCCCAGGGAATTCTAATTCTCTGGGAAAGTGTCTCCTTCCCCGAGAATCCTCGGGGCGGGGTGCCGGGGCGCGCCTGGCGCAAAATGGTTAAAACAAAGTCCACGCGCGCCCCGCGGCCCCTCTTACGGAAAGTGTGCGCGCCGGTGGCTGGGCACCCCCTTTGCTGATCGGAGGGTTAGTTCCCCGGAGGAAGTCCGGCTGTGTCAGGGGAGGGATGCCGCAGGCTGGTGCCGGCTCCCGCCCCCAGGCCTCCGGCGGGGCGCACCTCCCGCCAGACGGGCGCAGCGCGCCGGGCCGGGGCGTCTGCGGCGGGCGGCGGGCGGCCGGAGCGCGCTCGACCCGGCAGCTCACTCTCTCTGCCTCCTCCCCCCAGGATTACCGAGAGGATGGGATGGATCTAGGCAGTGACGCCGGCAGCAGCAGCAGCAGCAGCAGCCGCGCCAGTTCGCAGTCCAACTCCACCAAAGTGACCCCTTGCTCCGAGTGCAAATCCTCGTCGTCGCCGGGGGGCAGCCTGGACTTGGTGTCTGCCCTGGAGGACTATGAGGAGCCCTTCCCGGGTTACCAGAAGAAGGTGATTGATGAGTGGGCGCCGGAGGAGGACGGGGAGGAGGAGGAAGAGGAGGACGAGCGCGACGGACGAGGGTACCGGGATGACCGCTGTCCCGCCCGGGAGCCGGGGGACGTGAGCGCCAGGACCCGCAGCGGCGGCGGCGGCGGCGGGGGGAAAGGAGCCACCACCGCCATGCCTCCCCCCCTGCCCAACGGCAACCTCCACCCGCACGACCCCCAGGACCTCAGGCACAATGGCAACGTGGTGCTGCCCGGCTGGCCCAGCGGCGCTCGAGTCCCCCGCCGGGCGGTCCAGAAGCCCCAGCTGGCGGGGGGCCTGCGCGGCGGCCGGGGCCCGGCGGCGGGGGGCCTCTGCCTTCAGCCCACGGACAGCGGAACGTGCGTCCCAGAGGAGCCCCCGATGCCCCCAATGGACTGGGAGGCGCTGGAGAAGCATCTGGCTGGACTGCAGTTCCGGGAGCAGGAGGTGCGGAACCAGGGCCAGGGGAGGACCAACTCAACCTCAGTAAGTTGGCCGGGGTGCGTGCCCACGCGCGCACACGGCCCGCACGCGCCCTCCCGCCAGCCGGCGGCCCCATTCATCCCTCCCTGAGGCTGGGGGCCCGGGCGGGAGAGCCTGACCTCTGCTCCCCTGGGGTACCGTGGCTCAGTCTGCGAACCGTTTGGGTTTGCTGGATAGGCGGAGTGGAGGGAGGGGCAGCCGGAGAGCAGCGGAAAGTCGCGTTAGTGGAACTGGCGACTCATTTTAATGGAATTACTTAGGGAGACGAGGTTGTGAGTCACTTGTCTGAAAATAAATCCGGGGAGATTTGGGCACCGCAGCCGGTGCCTGCGGGTGATATTTGAAGTCGTAATCGCCGTGGCTTTGTCAACCGTGGTGGGTCGCCCTGCGTGGCCACTGATGTCTCGCCCATAGGCAGGCTGTCCCTGTGCTCACGCACACACGCGCCTGCCCACACCTCTGGTCTGGCGGCGCGGTGGGTTCCATCTCGCGTTTAAGCGGATGCTCCAGTATTTGAAAGGGTGGCCGCCCTCCTCTAAGACGCTCCCTTTCTGAAACCCCGGCCTGTTGTTGACCTGGGGGAGCCGGGTGAATCGATCTGCTAGGATGCGGGAGGCGTTTGAGCCTCTGTCCCCTGACTCTGATGAATTCTCCTTGCTTTAATAAGGAGCCGCTTACACTTCCTCACCGGAGGTCACTGCCTCCAAGCTGGAAATCCAGAGGGGGAGGGGTGCTGGAGTGGGGCAGAGGGAGGGAAGGCAGGAGGGCAGGAGGGCTGCATCTAAAAGACGCTCTGGCAGGTTCGGACTTGCCTCAACATCTTTTGTGCCCCTGAGAGGAGAGCAGATACATGATGTAAAAGAAAGCATTATGAATGTAGCTCCCCTATTCATCACTGTTTGGAGAGACAGCAACAGTTGTAATTTGAAATCATTAATGATGTCCCTAAGTGGGGCTGAAGGGCACCGTTGAAATGAGCTGCTTTCTGTGCGTGGCAGCTGTGCGGCAGTGTGGGAAAAGTGCTGGCTTGCAGGTGTAATTTTCCGGCTCCAGGGCCCTGGGGCTACTGGAAATTGGGTGCATGCACTTCTGACTTCAGGGGTGAGGGTGGTAACTGCGTTTCACAGAGAAATTGGCACGATTTCCATCAGAGAGAGCCCTTCGCTGACAGAGCCCACTGGTTAGTATCCCCTGAGAAATTACCTATTAAATTAACACACTCCTTTTAATCCCAGGTTTACCCTGGCCACTAGCAGATGTGGAATCTTTCTATTATAGCCGGTGTAGCTCCTTGTACCTTGCAATAGAAAACAACCTTTTCCTGCTTGGTGCTTGAGAAAAAAAATACCTCATTAAGCTCTCTGGACTTAAACAATGACTTGAAGATAAATAAGTTTTCTTTAGGATTGCGTGACGTTTATATATTCCAGGAGAATGTGATAACTGGGTATACATGTGAAGTTAGGATTCGATGGTGACAATGAGCTCCATTATTCAAAAGTTATTAGACAACATGTTATTGAGCACCCCTTGTGTTATGTACTAAATTTGAAGTATGATTCTCAGTGCTACAGTTACACATCTGTCCACGTGGAACTGGGATTGTGGTGAAGGGAGGCAGCCAAGCCTCTGGGCACTTACAATTTAATGGTTTGCTGACAGCTTCCCCTCTACCAGCACACACACACACACACACACACACACACACACACACACAAAGTTTCTGTGAAGACTTTGTGAATATTTCCTTCTTGGGCAATCTTGCAAGCCAAAGGTTATGTCCTCACCTAATGAACAGTTTGTATATTGGGGATCCTCTCCTTCCCCCACCCCACTCCCCAACCCTCCTAAAAAATGTCCCTTCTGGGTTTTTTCTCCACAAGTCACAGAGAAATTTGGGTTCCATTGCCTTAAAGCAAGTATGGGTACAGAAGTAAGGGGGAGGGGAGGTGGCCTTTGAGGTTGTTCAATATTGAAATTTTCATGTTCCTGTTTGTCTTTGAACAAAATTACTAGCTAATGTTAGTTTAGCATAGTGTTTTTCAAAGTGTGAATTACCTTTGAAGTCACCTTATCACTTAAGAAAAATGAAATATAATAGAATGTACAATAATGCCTTGCTCGTGGTTAGCTTGGCTTTTTAAAACTTTTGTTTCATTTTTATGTATACACTGGGTCACAGTGTAGGATTTCTTTCTTACTATGCATCGTTATCATGACACTGATTTAAATCCTATTTACTTCTGCCTGGAAGAAGTGGGAAAATTTATAACCATTAGGATGGAAACTTAGAAATAATGAAGGAGTTAGGTAGAAGAGAATGCCCATCTTGAAGGGGTTGTTCTAATAAATGATATTGTAGCTACTCTTTAAAAAGTTGTGTGTAAATGGAATTTCTCTGTGTTACTGGGTGGAGCGGGTATACATGAGAAAGAGAGTGTAGGTTTCTTTTCACCTGTGAAGAGAACCACATAAGTTTATTGCCCATTCTCTTTTGGAATCAGGTGGCTGGTTCCTTCTCATCATTCCTGACTCTGTTCAACTCTGACCTTCTCGGAGCTGCTGTCCTGACCACACTCCCTAAAGTAAAGCACTCCACCCCCACTTAGGCATGCCTGGTGTATTTTCTTAGGGCTTATCACTACCTGACATTACCTTATCTAGTTCTCCTTCATTTTTAGTCTCTCTGGAGTCCATTGGAGTGCAGGGGTCTTGCCTATCTGGGACAGTGCCTGGTACGCTCTGAAAGATCAAATGAATGAAGGAAGGAAGGAAGGACTTATATGACCCACACACCACAGAGCTAAACCACCCCTCTCATTTTACAATTGAGAAAACTGAGGCCGTTGGAGAAATCACTAAATGACCCTGGGCCTCAGTTCTCTCAGGTGTGTAAATGCTCAAGGGCAATTGTCACACAGTTAAGGAGTAAAGAAGGTTACTGGGTGTTGGTGCTTTTGCTGTCAGATTTAGAACCAGGGAGGCGAGTTTAAGGGAGTCGGGCTCCCAAATGTTTGTATTCATCCTACATTCTCATCTCCCTGCCTGCTCTGATTCTGGTGGACTGACTTGGATGATCCTGAGGGAAACCAGGACTTTCTCTTACTCCTGCTTCTCCAGGACCTCAATTTGTCACATATCACCCCCTGCTAACTCAGGGGGCTACTGCACACATCACCAAGTGCTGTGGGGGTGCCCAGTGCCTCCCTGGACTGCTTTTCTTAAATGGAGTACAGTTTCTCCTCTCTCTCCTTGATCTTTCCATGCCGTTTTCTCTCTTTCAGGGTCTGTGGGCCTCCATGTTTAACCTGTTCTGTCTCTGGAAACTCACATTTTTCTCCAACTTCTCTCTCCTCCCTCCTCCCCCTCCCCCCTCCCCCTCCCCTCCCCCTCCCCTCCTTCTCCCCTCCCCTCCCTTCCGCCTCCCCTCCCCCTCCCCATCCCCCTCCTCTCCTCTCTACTCAGGTCAAATTGACATACAGTGGGGCCCTGACTTACGAGTGTCCTGACTAACCACCTCTCGGCCGATTTTTTGCTTTGAGCTGCGAGCTAAAATTCGGTTACCAGCCAGCTTCAGATACCCCACCGCTAGTTGGCGCAGTGAACACCACAACTGTCAGCCCAGCCTCACGTGTCTCACTCATTCACTTTTTGATTTGACATACAAGTAATTTGAGTTACGAGCTCCGTCACGGAACGAATTAAACTCGTAAGTCAAGGCCCCACTATATAATCAACTGCACATATTTGAAGTGTACAATCTGATGAGTTTTGACATATGTGTATGCCTGTGAAACCATCACTAAAATCAAGACAATGAACATAGTTTCTCACCTCCAAAAGTACCCTTGTGCCCCTTTGTAATTCCCCCAGTCCTGTCTCTTGGCAGCTGTTGTGCCCAGATTTCAAGGTTCCCAAAATGCCCATCAGGGAGCCAGCAAGTCCGATGCAAAAGCAAAGAGTCCTTCATTTCGAACTAGTTCGGCTCCCCGACCACACTCACCGATGCAACAACGGTAAGCCCAGTGGCCGTGAGAGAGCGAGGCCTGATGGGATTGTGGGCTTTATAGTAAGGGCAGGGGAGGGGACTGTGGGCCCCGCCGATTGGCCAGGTGTGAGTCGGGTCTTGTTACACAGGATGTGGTCATATTGATGGCGTGCACTTCCCTTGATTATCATTGGTTAGTCCAGAGAAATCCTGGGCAGAGGCCTGGGCCTCCGGGAAGAAGCCCCCACCGAGCACATGGCTCTCCCCAAAAATGGAGGACCCAGGGCAAGATGGAGGGCGCAGTCCTCGCCCCCCCAAGGGCGAGCTGAGCCCAGGCTCCAGGGGCCAGTCCGGTTGCCGGAGGTCCAGCAGATTGACCAGTTCCATCCCAGACAGGAAGTCCACATCCTCCGTCTCGTCCCCGGGGGCGCCAGTGATCACCTCCTCCTCCATCTCCTCCGGCAAGGGCACACGCCCCGCCCCGCCGCCGCCGCTGCGTGGGTCCAGTCTGGGGGAGGCGGGCGGGTGGCCTGCTCCTGGCTCCCGCCGTGGGCTGGGGAGTCCGGCGCCCGAGGCCGCCAGCAGTGTGGTCAGGCTGTGCCTCATGGGGCCCGGTGGCCGGCCCACGTAGGCCCCGCGATGACTCGCCCTTTCAGCAGCCACTGGTCTCATTTCCATCACTAGATTAGCTTGCATTTTCTAAAGTGAATGTAAGTGGAATCATATAATACATACTAAGTTTTCGTTGGGCTTCTTTCACTCAGTGTGTAATTGTTTTGTGATTCATCCCTATTACTGTGCATGTTTATAGCTCACTGCTTTCTGTTGTTAAGTAGTGCTCCGTTTTATGGATATACCCTATTCCTCTGTTGATGGGCATTTGAGCTGTTTCTAGTTTTTGTCTATTACAAATAAAAGTGCTTTGAACATTCACATACAAGTCTTTGTAGAGACATAGTCTTTCCTTTCTCTTGGGTAAATATCTGAGAGTAGAATGGCTGGGTCATATGGTAAGTGTGTATCTAAAGACCACTAGGTCATCACTAGTTCTTCTGGTCACATATGGTAGGTGTGTTTAAGAAGTTGCCTGTTTTCCAAAAAAGTTGCACCATTTCACATCGCCATCGCCATGATTCTGAGTACAGTCGCTCTAACCTTGGCTTTCTCTCCCCCTGGTTGCTGTATTCCATCTGGGTCCCTGGGCCCTGCAGGACATCGCTTTTCGGGTGACTGGGGTGACTGCCACCCTCTCTCTTAAAAGAATGAGAAAGCACCTGGACCACCTCTTACATTCAGCCCAAGTCATTACACCTATTGTTCAAAAAGTAAAGGACTCGTTTTTAAATTAGAGAAAAGTTCTAGTTGTAGACCCAACTAACACATTTTAATTCCACTTTTATTATATTTTAGTGCCGGCGACAGGTGCATTTCCCCCTGTTTAATGAGAAAATAAGAAAAATTTTAATTGGCATGTTAATTGAAAGCAAATTCTCCTGATGAAGTTATTTCCAAAGTACTTGAAAATAATTTGTCTTTTTATTTGTTTGTACTATTAACTAGTAGCAAACTTTAAATTACCTACATTTCTTCCTAGAATGGTACTAATTACAGGTTATTTTCAATGTATTATTCTGTGAGAATTACGCCCACTTACTCCCTCCCCGTCAATGACACCACTACAGAAGCTTGAATGGCTAAATATTTGTTTCCTCAGTTACTTGGGCTATATTTAAATCCCATGAATTCCCATTTTTATAGACTGAGTTAAGAGGCCTTTATTACTTCTACAAAATATAGTAAAGTTTATAACTTTAATAAGTGATGTGATTCGGCAGCCAGGGACACAGCAGTGAAAACATTCTGTGTGGTGTGCAGTTAACACTTATTTCTGTTGGCTAGAGAGCATTACATGACTGGTAAACTCATTTTGGTTTTTTAACCATGACCAGAAATTACCAGGGCTAAGTGTATTGTGTGCTTTGACCTTTTTCCTTGGAATGTTGAGTGCCATCTTTGCCTGCTTTTCTAATTTACGTTGCTTTTTGCTGAAGAGCTACAAAGGTTGCTGTATCCATTTGCATGTACTCAAGACTTTAAAGAAATATGATTGGGTTTAAAAATAGGTTGCAGGTAAACCACAGTTCTGGGGCTGCGTGTGTATTTAAGCTACCATCAGATGATTCACCCTATGGTGGAACAGCCTTTGGAAATGTTGTAGTTAGATTCAATGAAATCTTTGCCTACCAATTGGTGTACACATAGTGGTCCTTTAAAACATCTTAAGGAAAGTTTTCAGGGTGCATATCTGAAAAGTGGACATAGATATTCTCATCACATATTCTCTGAGCTCTTTGAACATCTCACCACTGACATTGTTCACCGTCCTCCATGCTTCCTGGCTCTGCCTGCATTTGTAACTCCCGGGCCTTTGACCTGGCACTGCTTTTTCACTCTGGGGAATTCCCAGCATGAGCCCTTTGCTAAGTCGAAGGTCCAGGCGCTGCTGATACTGCCCATCACACCACCTGGCATTTGCTACTCCAGGGCCTGCTCTGATGCAGAGCCCCACCTCTTTGGGGAAAGCTGAATCTGATCATCTCCGCCTGAACAACCTCTTCTGAACTTGTGTTCCACTGTGTACCCCTTCCTCACACTTAGGTTTTTAAAAGGCTTCCTAGTTTTGAGTATTTTCATGTTCATTATCACATTTGCTCCTCATGACATCTGGAAATTGAACAAAGCATTTCCATTTTAGAGATGAGAAAACCGAGGCCCAGTGAGGTTCAGGGATTTGCCTGAAGTCTCATTCATGTCTGGCAAGACTCAGCTAAACCTGTCAACTTCTGGCTCTGGTTCCAGGCTCTTTTAGCGGCATTGTCTTATATTCTTGGTCTCTTATCTACCCTCTTCTCCATAAAGACATACATAATATAGGCTCAGGTGTTCACTGAGGAATAGACATCGGATGAATACCTGGTTAGTTAACCTATTTTATAACACCCTTTAGTTTTTTGGGTTTTTTTTTTGTTTTGTTTTTTTAAATATATTTTATTGATTCCTTAAAGAGAGGAAGGGAGAAGGATAGAGAGTCAGAAACATTGATGAGAGAGAAACATCGATCAGCTGCCTCCTGCACACCCCCTACTAGGGATGTGCCCGCAACCAAGGTACATGCCCTTAACCGGAATCGAACCTGGGACCTTTCAGTCCGCAGGCCGATGCTCCATCCACTGAGCCAAACCGGTCAGGGCTAGTTTTAAAATTTACTAGAAACTGCTACTCTCTGAAATTGCTTATTAGTGCTAATAATAGTAATTCTAGGTCCTTTCTTAAAAGCGCATCTGTAGCATTACATTTGCATTTTAAAACAGAAATTTGTTTTTACTCCTGGACCTTTGCCCCTAAAGACATGAATGGTTTTATTTTCTTACATTTGAAATTCAGTCCTAAGTATTTTAACAAAAAGGGCTTTTGCAAATGCTTTTCTTTAGCTGCTTTATTCCCCTTGAGCTGTTAGGACAGATACTGCTTTATGATGCTTTATACTGCCAGTGGCTGGGAGATGATTTTGCACACAACTTTAATAGAAATTCAAGA